GACTGTAGCAGCTACGACCTTGACCTTTCAAGAAAACTACAGCTACGATGTCTAGACCTGACTAAGACTCCTATCCAACAGGTCTACAGATCGAACCCATGCGACCATGGACCCTACGACAACTTGTCAGCTGTTACAAATACACAGGTCACGGGTTCAACTCTACAGGCCGACACAGGTACTGTACACAGGTAAGGTTGGGGTCTAGGGATCGAACCCTGGGATCTGCAGCARCTACTGCTAACTAGTGAATACCGTTTCACTCCCGCCGTCCTAAATTCGAGGTCCTCCGAGAACAATTCAGTCCAAGGCAAGTCCTTTACCTTTCTGTTCTCTTTCGTAGGCTCTAACTATATCGGGAGCTGTCTCTAGAAGTTCTGATCTCGTAAACCAGCGGTCATCCTCCGGCTCCTGGTATGCAAACCGGACCTTATACTGTTTCTGTGGACGACCTCTACCTCCTGTTCTGAAGACATCTTCACGTACAATGCCGTCAATGTCATAGCTTCCATCCATATCCGGGGGGATTATGGATCGTCTTGAGGGGAACTGTTGACTTGTGACACACAACAACAGTTTTGAAGCATGGAACACAGGGTAGGTGTGGAGGTGAACTGGAAATCTCTACGATGTAGGACGGTCCATCCTCTCCGCCCTTGACTTCTAGAACCGGCCACGGTCCTCTATACGCAGGCAGTAACTTCTGAGAGATGTTTTCTTCAAGCGCAAACTCTTTTGCCTTGACCTAGACTAAGTCGCCTACTTGAAACTGTGATGGGCAACGGTGCTTGTTAGCTTGTTCTATCATCCTATGCTGGGCCTTCCTAAGGTTATCAACAACAGTTGCTAATTCTTTCTCATGCTGTATCGCAAACTCCCTGGTTCCGGGCGGTAGTCTGTGAATCTGATCCCGGTTCAGTCCTTCGAATGGTTTGCGGGGTCTAAAGGAATTGTGCAGTTCGGTGGGAGTGCGGCAGGTAGATAGATGCACGTTGTTGTTGTACGCACTAGCTACTTTAGGCAACATCTCATCCCAGTTGATCTGATCTGGTCTAATGTACATGCGCGAAACTTGCTGTAGGATCTTGTTCATCTGTTCTGTTTGACCGTTGGTCTCTGGATGACGGCCAAATGACATTAATAACTTAGATCCGTACACTCTCATGAGTTCTTGCCAGTTCTGGCTGGTGAAGCGACTATCTCTATCGCTGACTATTGACAATGGGATTCCATTTTCACTAACCCAAAAGTCAAAGAACTTCATTATCACTAAGTGTCTACGTGCCTCTGAAGGCAAAGGAACAAAAACTGCGTATTTACTGAAGCGGTCAACTACGACCATGACTTGGCTCTTACCATGACTGCTCTTGACTTGGGTGTCCATGAAGTCTATGGACACAGTCTCCCGACTGATCCAGAATAGGCAAGGGTCTGAGAAGACCAAGGGGTGCGCATGTAGTAGTCTTGTTACGCTGACATACTTTACAACTGCGGACATACTCTACGCAGTCATTCTTCATTCCTGGCCAGGTATACGCGCGCACTAGATTGGCTAACGTCTTTTGCCAGCCGAAATGTCCCTCAGTATCGTGGCATTCCCGTAAGATTAAACTGCGGATCTCTACGCTGTTGGGAACGCACAGGCGGTCAAACACATGAGTCTTCTCAAATAACAACCCATCTGTAGTGCGGGAATCTGGTTCAGTCTCTGGGGCCTCTCTAACTCTCTTTAGGAGGTCGCTATAGATAGGGTCCTGTGCATATGCTTGCTTCACTTTCTCTTGCAGGTCTCTCCCTATATCCAGATAGTGTACTATGGCTCCAAAGTAGTCTGATCTCCTACTCAGAGCATCACGTTGTACTTGCCCTTCACTTGCTTGAGCTCAAAGTCGAATTGGTCTATCTCTGCGGCCCACCTAGTCAACTTAGGTGTCATCTTGGCCTGAGTCTTTAACCATCTAAGCGTTTCATGGTCCGAATACACTTTGAAGTGCCTCCCAAGCAGGTAGTGCTTCCAATGGTCTAAAGCCTGCCTGAGAGCGGAGAGTTCTCTCTCGTACGTGGAGGTAGCGACCTTYTCACAGGGCATCCTCGCTGACATGAACTCTACGGGTCTATAGCCATTGCCGTCATCTTGTTGTAATACGGCGCCTATCCCATACTGACTTGCGTTCGTGGTAACAACAAATGGCAAAGACGGATCGACTACTTTGAGGACGGGGTACTCTATTAATGCGTGCTTTAACTTCTTGAGCGCAAACGTACAATCTTTGTCCCACTGCCAGATTGCCTCCTTTTTAAGTAACCTGTGTAAGGGGGCGGCAATAGTAGAGAAGTTCCTCACGAACTTTCTATAGTAGTAAGCTAGGCCTAGGAACGACCGCAACTCAGTCAATGTGCGGGGCGTCGACCAATCTCAAATCGCCGCAATTTTGCTGTCCTCTGGCTTAATGCCATTTCCGTCTAATACGTGGCCCAAGTACAGGACTTGCGTCTTGGCCCACTCGCACTTCTTTGCGTTGATCTTGAAGTTAGCCTCTCGAAGCTTCTCCAAGACCTACCTGAGATGACCCTGATGCTCCTGGAGGGTCTTACTAAAAATCAAGATGTCATCTAAATAGACTACGACAAACCTATCCAACCAGGGTCTAAACAGATCATTCATGCAACGCTGAAATGTAGCTGGCGCGTTGGTTAGTCCAAAGGGCATCACTATAAACTCATAGTGTCCATATCTAGTCCGGAAGGCAGTCTTGTACTGATCATCAGGGTGGACTTCTATCTGATGATAACCGGACTTCAAATCAATCTTAGTGAAATACTTACAACCCTGCACCCGATCTAGAAGATCGTCTATCCTGGGCAGTGGCTCAACATTCTTCACAGTGATCGCATTCAAACCCCTATAGTCTATACACATTCTCAACTCTCCTTCCTTCTTGGAGACAAACAAAACGGGTGCTCCAAAAGGAGACGAACTGGGCCTGATCCAACCTTTCTCAAGGAGCTCGTCTAATTGCTTGCGCAGCTCCTCTAACTCTCTAGGGGACATCCTGTAAACTGCACCCTTAGGAGTTCTACTGCAAGGTTCTATCTCTATTCTGTGATGGATGGGTCGCGATACTACCCCTGTCGGCGACTCAGTCAAGTCTTTGAACTCTTCCAGCAACTTGGCTATGGTTGGATCCGTGGAACTTATCTCTTCCTTGCCCTCAGTGACAGGTCTAACATACACCACAAAGACCTGCTCCTCTAATTGCTCCTTTTTCACTAACCGCGCAAACGCGGGAGCACTGAGAAAGCAATGCGCCAAGGCATTATCTACACCTGACACATGAAACAGGCGGGCAGTCTTAACCTCGCCTGATGGACTAGGGAGCCTACACTCATGCTCTCTCAAATGGAGTGTTGCCCCGGCTGCCTCTCCCCAATCCATTCCCAATACTATGTCGAAGGGAAGGTCATCCTGTACGAGGAGAGTCAGGGAATGGAGAACTTTCTCCACCTTCCCATCCTTCTTTAGGCGAAAGTACGCCTGGACTCCCTCTACATAGTCCTCAACACGCATTGTGCGGTTGTCTGCGAGGACACTGACTATGGGGTCTGCCAACTTTTGGACTTTCAATCCTACCCTCAGCTTCTTCAACGCCCTACGGCTAATATAACTACGGGTGGCCCCTGAGTCTATAAGAGCCCCTACTCTACTTCTGAAAACCTCTACGTCTATCAAGATTAGTTGTCCTTTACTTTCTTTCTTCATCTTGGTCGAGGCTCCTTTCCTTTAACTCTTCTGCCACACCTGTGAGGGACGTGCCTAAAGAGACGCTAACACAAGCAGTCTCTGGACAACTAGCTAGGCACGGGCCTGCAACCTCTGCCATGGCCCATGTGGGTTGGGAGTGTCCTGTTCGCGCGCGCTCACTGCTCCACATGGCCCTGAAGTAGGGGCAGTTGCAACCCCTACTGGCGGCTGTCTTTTGACTGCTGGGCAGCCCAACGGGTCTGTCTATACTTAGGACAAAATTTTATTACGTGAGCCGGGTCACCACAGAATACGCACTGACCCATGTTCACGCGTTCCTGCCATAACCGTTGGTCCAAGCCCAGGTCTTCCCAGGGCCTGCCCTGTGGCAAGCCTGGGTGCCATCCTCCTTGAGGTGCCCTTCCACCTCTTTGCTGTGGGGACCGATTTGAACCTTGGCGATTTGGCGGGGGACCTTGACCCCTACCTCCCACTTGGCGGTTTCCCTGTCCGCCAACCTCCTGTGCGCCCGGTCCTCGGCCTCCAATGACCTGGCCCCTTCCTGGCCTCCTCCTCTACCTTGCGGCTTCCCTCCAGCCGCGACAGCAGCATAAGGCCTCCCCTGTCCTAAGCTACTGTCCTCCTCTTCAAGGCCCCACTCAATCTGCTCATATGGGACCTCATCTGTACCACCTTCCTCCAACGTTAGGATCAGGCGATCCTTGGCCTTTACTTGGCCTGAGATGGTGCGATCCTTCCACTTCTTCCCCTTCTCCAGGTCTTTATGCCAGAAGGTGGTGACTGGCATAGACCTTGACTCATACAGGACGACTTCTCTACGCAACGCATCGTAAGTGATGCCGGCCTGTTGAGATTTATCAAAGAAATGCCCCCTCAGGGGCTCTGGCATGGCACGATAAAACAACTGGACCAATTGGGTCTCAGTGACCCCATGGTCTGGGACGGCCACCAGGTCATCCATAACGCCCTTGAGTGCCCTTGCACTCCTCCACTGTCGTGAGTGGATTGTTTGTAACTTGTCAGAGGCACGAATGCCTCTCGTTGGGTCAGCAAACCGCTCCTTCAGGAGCTTGAGGAATTGAGGGAGGGGGGTGACTTTGGAATATGCAACCAGGTTGTTTTCACAACCGGCTGCGCGCGCAAGGGACCTCGCAAAACTAGCCGCCTCATCCTTCARGGCCTGAAASGCTACAAGGACTTGCTCATCTGTCAGGATGTGYTGTAGGTAAATATAGCTRTTGACRCTGGCTTCCCAGTTGTCRAAGTTCTCCTCCTTCTTCCSTCCATAGGCATCTGGGAATTCGAGCTTAACTGGGTCCTTGCGAGGTCTGGCCTCGCCCTCTACTGCGGCTATGGCTTTGGCACCCTCAATGGCGCCCTCGCAATACTTCCCTACGTTATCCCTCAGTTGCCTGACTTCGCCCCCAATGTGGGTGATGATCTCGCGCGCAAACTCTCTAAACCTCGACCGCATGGCCTTCAGGGTGATGTCTTGGCCCTGATTGGCTTGTCGTTCCTCTAACCAGGCCTCGCTCAACACCTCTAAGTATCCCAACATCTTGTCCATTTTGGCAGAAACGTCTATCTGTGCCTGGACTTCCTGTCTACACGTCCGCACCTTTTCCACTTCTACGGTCAACCGGTTAGCTTCCTCCCTTCTTCTCTTCTTCTCCCTTTTCATCCTCAACTTCCATTCCAATCTCTTCTCCTCCTCGGCTTCTTGACGTTCAAGGGGGTCCTCAATCACTGTGAGGGCCCTGGCAAACGCCTCCTTCTCTTCCTGTGGCACATACATCTGCGCCTCCTCGTCTTCACCCAACGATAAGTTAGCAACCCACTCACTTATTTTCTTCTCCATCTCTGCATCTTTATCCTCCTCCGTGCCACTACTTCCTTCTCTACTCTCAATTCTCATCCTCTCTTTCTCTTCTTCTGCTGCCGCTTCTTCTTCAGCAGCCTTCTTCTTTCTCTCCATCTCCTCCTCTATCTCTTTCATCTTAACCGCCTGTTCCTTCGCAATCGCCTTTAACTTCGCCTGCTTTTCACGCTCCTTTCTCTCCCTATTTTCTTTCACTAAGGCGGCCATTTTCTCTTGCTTTTCAGCAGTATAGGGGGTAGTAATCGTCCCTTTTCGGGTCTCGACCATGGTGATAGGTGCACAATCAGAATGATTCCACTCCTCACCACGTAAACTCTAACCCCTGACTGACAGACCTATTGACTCGATCTAAGACTCACAAAATCCTGACGGGGATCCTGCCAGCTATGGTCTCTAGCCTAGACCTATGCTATGGCTGTCACTACTAGACCCTTTGCTGATCTGGAGGCATTTAAGGAGATCCCCCGTAACTCCTCAAGAATTATTTAACGTCGCAGACAGGACGACGTGATCAGCTTGGTCTTGACCTGTCGCACCGCCCACAGCTCAGCTGTTCCGGCCTACCGTGCCACACCGAGCAGCCCGCCGGTCTGTACCGGTCCTTGGGAGGGTTCGTATCCCCCGGGACAGTCGAGTCGTCAGACACGGTCTTTAGCCTTACTTAGTCTGACTGGGGTTCGGGTCAACAAGGCCCTCAACACTTAAGACGGCCTGGTGTGTCAGCCCCAACTGCCGTTCAAGCCCACCGTGTCATACCAACCGTGTCCAGCCGGTCAGCACCGGTCCTTCGGAGGGTTATGCCCCCCTGGACAGTTGGATCTACCACAGTCTCAGCTCTACAAGGTCAGATGAGGGTTTCGTCATCCAAGCCCTACCCTTCATCCACAGAGTACTATCACTTAGGACAGGAGAGACTCAATGCAGAAAGAATAGACAGACTGACTTGACTCAGCAAGTACCAGGGGGTGCGTGCACATCTATAGGGCAAGGGATAGGCTGAGGGCTTGGCGAGATGTTACCAACTCCAGCTTGGTCAAAGTCTTGGTCAACGCCTTGGTCAACGGTCCGTGTCAACGCCGGTCAGCACTGCTATGACCCCCGGTCAACCCTGGTGATCGCCAGTCAACACCTCCGGTCAACCCTCTTGGTCAACCTTCCAGTCAGCTATGGCTGCCGGCACCTCTTCCTTGCCAACCCTCTTCTTCTTCTTTACCTTCCTCGCCTCCTTTC